AGCCTGTCAGTTTTAGCAGTCAAACACAATATGGGCTTGTTTTCGGCGTTCTTATGACCATCATGGCAGTCTAACACTGTGCTGAGATTTACAGGTCTTTCATTTACTCTTTTGTTTTTTGCCTGGGTGCTAAAATGGAACAAATATGCTTTGGAGCACAATCGGTAAATAGTTTTACCATGTTAGGACATTATTAAAACTCGTGGCCTAGGCTGTTGCTGTTGTATTTCTCTAAACGTCAAGCCTGGAAAGTCAAGCCAAAGTGGGTTTATGTTAACAAAATGGAGGATTATTAATACATCTGCTTTGATGCAGAGATCTGCTTTTTGATGCTTAAACACTATTTCTTATGGAGTCCCTAAAGGGATGTGGTGATGGGAAAATAATATTAGATTGAAGGAAAAATTGTATTTAAATGCTTTTGCAATCTCTTATAAAACTTTTGCATTCCCCTGAGAAACTTTTGCTGTCCCTTGAGAAACGTTGCGTTCTCTCTCAAAACTTTTGTGATGGAATAATATGAGGTGGGAGGAAAAGCTATACTATAATGCTTTTTGCAAAAGTTTTATGAGTGGATGTAAAGTCAATAGGACAATTCAAAATGTTTTTAAATGCTCACGGCATTTCCATCCCGAGCCCATTGTTGGCGATATTGTTATGTAATTGCTTATGTTATTTTCCCTCAATGATTAAAAAAAGAAGAAAGAAATATAACACTTGCAAAAATGTCTCATAATACTCAAAAAGACATTCGCTTGTCGCCATCTACTGGTGAAATAATGTAACAACACTCGCTAGTCGCCATCTGCTGGTGCATTGATGTAACCAACACTCACTACTGGTAAACTGCAGTATTGGCTAAAATATTGTGGTATTACTGTTAGTGACATAAGCAAAGTCTGGATGTGGTGCGTACTTAAAATTCACGGTGATTTGAGAATGATTTTTATGACTTTTAAAACATTCTGACAGTGTCTCATTATCTTTTATATCATAGTACAATAATGCAAGGCAATGGAAGGACATTTTGTCCCCTTTGCATATCTAATTTAAATGTCTGAGTTAAAATGAGGTTTTCGGGAAATGAGCCTGAAGGAATTTTACACTTTTTAACCTGAAAGTTAAATCACATATTCATCTCATTGATTTAGATTTTCTATGGAACCAAGAAGCTTATAGAACAGCATCAGCCAGTCCAACAAACTCTCAAAACACACGCACTCACATGCACACACACACACACACACACACACACACACAAACACACACTAAGAAAAATGTGTACCTTGTCACTGGGACAGTACTCTCAAAGGGACATCATTGTACATTATTTTCCCCTAACAGGTTTATAGCAGTACCTTAAGGGTACATATTACCACTCAAGGCACTGATATGCACCGTGCAGGGGTAGATAAGATACAGAGTTGTCCCTGTTGTACCCATAAAAGTACAGTTTTTGCCCTTTTTGCATTTTTTTCTGACAGTGATGAAATATACATATTACTTATTGAGAAAAGGTAATATAGGCCTATTGCTTTTAAAGCAATCAAACTCATATTCATCTTGCGGTGGAAAAACTGGTAAAAAATCCCCATAGCCACCATCCAGAACAACCATATAGCAATGCACTAAAAACACTCATAACACCTTAGCAACCCCTGACAACCACATACAATATCTTGACATCATGAAGTCGAGTTTTGCAATATGAATACCAGAAAAAAAAGCTGATGCAAGCTTGACTCACGTGACCCGCCAGAACTAACGCTAACGCTTAATTTCTGTCACATGCTTTCATTTTATCACATGCTCTCTGGTCTCTATAAATCACGTTCTTGCTGCATGCACCAAAATATTTGGATTCTTAATTTTTGGACGCCCATTGATAGATCACCAGGAAACCAAAAATGCTGCTCTTTACAAATTATGCCCATTAGGCACATACGGTTGGACATCTTTAATATTTATGTCACAGTCACTCTGTGTGAAAAACTTTTCAGCCATTACACTCTCCGAATTTGCTTCAAGAAAAATTTTAAGAACAGTCCCACAGGTTTTACTTTTGATTCAAGGCATTGCGGTGGGGTGGATTTCGAAGCAACATTTTGAGACAGTGTCAAGAATTATTATATAAGAAGAGAGAAGACAATGGCTTATCTGCAGTGCCTCTGCATCTGTGGAGGTGACTAATTTCTCCAAGCTACGGAACCATCACTTAGAGTTCAGCGGGAAAAAATGATAACGTGTGAGAGAAAGAGGCAAAGCCAAGATTGGATGAGCTCTGTTCTACTTTTCACAGGAAGGAAGAGCTGCCCACATCGCTGGAATCTGACATGCTCTCTTTTCTCTTCACTCTGTGGCCTCCTGTCTGTTTGACAGCCTGATCTGTGTTTACTTCCTCTCAAAAAATACGGACAAATCATAGACAGCCATGAACGCACCCTCTTCCTCTCCCTCAGTCTTTTTTCTGTGTGCAAGTGTGTGTTCGAGATGCCAACCCTGATGTTCCCTCTCTCCCTGCCGGTATTTCCACTTTCTCAATGCATGTCAGCCAAGTGGAAAAGACCTGTCAATCAAGTAAAGCATGCACACACAACAGTGTTTCCTGCAGAATTAGTTTTTTGCAAAAACCTGTGCAACCCCTTTTTAATTGGTCCTAACACATACATTTATTTATAAGTACAATTAATTTAACTCATTAATTTGGTTGCATTAAATATTAAAAAAACCTTAAAAAAATGCACCGTGATGAGTATCTGCAGTGCCATAATAAGGAATTTTTCTACCATCAGAGCAATTTGATTTCATGTTTGATTCATTAAAAGATTCCTCTCATAAGAGTCTTCCATGCTGCAGTTTTTTTTTGTTGATGTTGCATGCAGCCAGTGAAGCAAATGCAATAGAAAGATGTGTTGTCTACAATATTTTTTTCTATGCCATCACATTCAATTCAGACTGCAAACTCACAACTTGGGTAAAACATAATTTCTTTTGTAATGGTGCTGTGCTGGAAACACTGGCATAAACATAATTAAATGTCAAAGAACACATGCAGATCTTGCAGTAAAAGTAATTCTGCACTTCCAAAATTACTCTGAATTTTGACAACAGACAGATGTTGCTATTGATTCATGTCCTCAACTGAACATGTTCTTCTGAACTTACATAAAACTCATTACACAAAACTTTCTAGATGATGTCTTTCCAAGAGGGCCACACATGTCAAATAATTGTACACTTCCATTCAAAAGTTTGGGGTTGGTAAGTTTTTATGTTTTTAAAAGTATTTTATGCTCACTAAGGCTGCATTTATTAAATACAGTAAAAACAGCAATATTGTGAAATACTATTACAATTTAAAATAACTGTTTTCTATTTGAATATCTTTTAAAATATAATTTACTCCTGTGATACAAATCTGAATCATTACTCCAGTCTTCAGTGTCACATGATCCTTCTGAAATCATTCTAACATCCTGATTTGCTGCTCAAGAAACATATTTTTAATTTTTAATCAATGTAGAAAACAGTTGTGCTGCTTAGTATATTTGTGGAAACTTTGATATGTATTTTTTTTCTGGATTCTTTGATGATTAGAAAGTTCAAAAGAACAGTGTTTATTTGATGTTGAAAACTTTTGTAAACTTTTGTCTTTACTGTCCCTTATAGTCTCCAAACTTTTGAACAATAGGCTGTAATGATCCATAAATCACAATGAAAACCTTATGGCTTTTATTTTACATATAATGTTTTATCTGATTTTATGGAACATAGAGATACAACTGAGAAAATCTTGTCTTTAATGACCACAGTGATGAATGTGTCTCACAGAAATCTGGCCATAAAGTTGTACGATCTGCATAAATGGGCACTTAGAGGGTTTTTAGTGAGAAAAATCTTTCTAGGGCTAAATTAACTTTTAAACAGGGTTCTGACCTACAACCCACATCTCCATATCCACTGACATCACTGAAATAATTTTGAAAGGATGCTTGGTTTCCAAACCAACTTGGTGTCCAATTGGCTTGTGTTAGTGGTGTTTTTACTTGAACAAACCATTCTCACTCACTTCCATGCACTATATTTCGTTCATTGAACACTCTCTTGTGAAGCACAGGGCTGCTATGGCCTTTTCTCACTTCAAAGACTGACTGTAGCACATTATGGTAGGGGCTGTGAAGGAGCATATCATTGGTTGGACATACTGAATGAATATGCCATATACACTGAACGAGTTGGTGTTTTGTGGCTGAATGACTTGAGACAGCACTGAACGAACTAGCACATGATGCTTGTGAGGGAACTAACCAAATGAGGTATGCCGAATGAGAATCTGCTGACAGTGACTGAATAAACTGGATAACTAGGAAAGGAAAGTTGGTCAAGAACAACTCTGAATGTGACTCGACAAAGTCTTGACTGAAATTCAAAACATTTTTTAAAAAGTCTTTACATTTGAAGGTTATACAGACCTTACAGCCTGCAAGACAGACAGGCCTAGGCTATATAGATAGAGTTACTGATGGATTGAAAGACAGGGCTCCATTAATGCGCAGTCTTAAGCTCAAGGCCCTCAGGCTGAGGGAGTGATCTGGTACTGGAGAAAAGTTTGAATTTTTTTTTAATATATTGGTTTAAAAACTTTTTAATAAAAAACTACTTTTCTATATAAGTTAGCAGTGTTTCTCGCTACAACATTATTTTGCCTGCCGATATTTTGCAGTTTAGAATCGGAGCGATGCTGAATCAAATGAATAATTTTTCGATTCGGTTCACTCGTTTGAACTGATGACATAGTAACATTGTCTGAATCGGTTCTGGATTAAGTTTGAATCTTTCGGATAGTTCGCTCACGCACTGAATTTTTCCGGTTTCTCATTCCATAAAACAACGCGCAACTGATTAAACAAGCGAAGTGAATATTTACTTAGGCTATATACGTTATCTTATATAATATAATAACATCTTATAACATATCTTATTATATGTTATACCCGATATTTCCAACCAAAAGAGTATCAAGGAAAACGTAAAGTAAACAGTACACGAAATCATTTACCATGATATTGTAGCGTTGTTTGCTGTTTAGCGTCAGCTGCTTAGAGTCAGTATGAGAGATTTATAATTCGTAACCGAATAATTATTTTGAGCCTGTTCTTTTCAATGACTCGACCAAACGGGAATCGGTTCATGATTCAGTTCGGATTCGAGCTCTGACGCGCCAAAAGTCGTTTGAGGCAATTTGTCATTCCATAAAACATAAATGAGAAATGTTTTGAACTCATGGAGCAAAAACAGCGCAGGATTAAGAAGATAACTACAATTCATGGAAACTAAACCTGGAAATACGTATTATTGTTTACCAACGATGAAGAAGGTTCAACACCTGCACGCACCACTCTCGAAAGGTAAATCCAAAAAGTATCAAAACAGTACGCGAAATACCTAATGTATGATGGCATTACCATGTCTTTCAGACATGTACTGTGGTTCTTATAGTGCCTTCGACTTAGAGTACCATATAAATATTAGAGAACATAAGGCCTATAAATGGTAATCATTATTTACCATAGTACATAGCAAAACATGGTATTACAATTTAAGACGATCACTGTGCAGTGATACCGCTGTTGTTTTGAATGGTATTTTGAGAAACAGTATCATGTGAATAAGATGATTTGTCTTTGACAGTGTGTTCACCTTGCATCTGGCTTGTTTGTTAACCACTCCTCACTTTCTCTCCTCATTAACACACCAGCTGGCAATACAGGTTTACTGGTGTAGCTTACTTTTAGAGATGCTTTTTCTTTTCTAACAACCAGTGGTTACTTTTTGTTATATATATTTTAAGTACCGGCCTATGAATTATCTTAAATGTAGTTCAGCTTATAGTTTGCAATAGGGCTGCACGATTAATCAAATGCGATTGTTATGCGCATTTTGTTAGTAAAGCCGGTTCTGTAATCAACAGGAAATCATCATCACGTGCTTTCGGATGGAGCAGCATTTACTACATATAGCCGTAGTTCACTGACAAGTTACGCAAAAAAACGCAGACGATTTTATTGCGCGATTATGAAATCGAAGAAATCGTTCGCGATAATGACAGCTGTTTGCATAGCTTCTCAGTGAACTACAGCTCTGTGAAGTAAATGCTGCTCCATCTGAAAGCATGTGAAAATACCACATTTAATAACATATTTTTACTCCAAACTCACTTCATAACGTCAGTCGAGTGTTTGAAATAAATCCTTCTGTGAGATGATGTGGCTTCTTACAAAGAATAAGGCACACAACATATTTCATAGTATTCGAAGTAGTAGTGATAAAGGCTATGTCGATAAGCATTGCATTATTATATACTTTATTAGAATGAAAATGATAATAATTATAATAAGAACTCGGATAAATCAACCGTGCTTCACTGAAAGATACGCATGACAATCGCAGCTTCTGTCGAATCGCGATCTCGATTCCATTTCGATTAATCGTGCAGCCCTAGTTTGCAATATAAGATAACAAGAATGAATCTTCTGGTGAACATTTGAAAAATACAAATCTGGAAATGGCCAGCACTAGCTCCCGCATATGCATCTACACACACCCACATCTGTGAATTAATTTAAAAGCACTATTCTCCATTATTTATGGCCTTGTATTGCAGGCTAGCAATTCAGACAATAGAAGAGTGGATGCTTGTGTGTGTGTGTCGATGAAGGCAAGAGTGCGTGTGGATGGACATGTCGTTTTGGCCCCTCATTAATGGCAGCGAGAGAGCATGAGTCCTCTCTAATGCATTCTCCTACCTTGTTCTTTCTCCTCCGTAAGCGGCCTTTGCCTTCCCCTGACAGGACAGAGCCGGTTCTCAACACAGGTGTGATGTTCAACAGACAATTTCCCAGGCTTTTTTTCTTCACCCTCCTTTTTTACCTTCATTCTCTCGGGTCCCAGGGAGCGCCGCCCCTGTGAGATGGAGGGATGAAGTGGGAAGAGCAGGGACGAGAGTGGGCAGGCAAGTGGATAAAAAGGCCGCTGTTCTTTTTCATTTGTGCCTTTTTTTTTCTCCCTCTCATTTTCCCTCTTCTCTCAGCCAGCTTTTTCTCCGGCTGTCCTGGTTTCTGGTTCTCCAGGGCCAGGGCCTATATTCAGCCGCCATCGGTGTGGGGCTGAGGTTTCTCTCAGATTCTTTGGTTTAATCAACATTCAGCAGGGTGATAAAACAGAAAAATTCAAAGTGGAAATCCAGCTTTAGTTGCTGTCTTGTAGTGATGGACTGATATGGTTTTCAATTGCGGATACCAGTATCTAGAGCACATGGTGGCCTATTGCTGATATAATACCAATATATGAATACATTTCAGGGCTCGACAATAAGGACTGCCCGATGGCCCAAGGCCAGCGTGAAAGACGTTCGGGACAGTAGACGGATTTGTCACTTGCCCGATCGGGCCACTGCAGCGTCGTCACGACTTATCATTTGCATGTGTTTTTAACACTTGTTAATTAAAAAATTCAAGCGATTAAAAAGCATTTGGGTGCGAAAGACAACTACATTCAGTACTCGCGCGCTGTTCTGTGTAGGGCTGCACGATAAATCGAAATGGAATCGAGATCACGATTCGACAGAAGCTGTGATTGTCATGCGTATCTTTCAGTGAAGCACGGTTCTGTGATCAGCAGTAAATCTCCATCCAAAGGCCAGAGGGCGCTCTCGCGCTGAAACTCCAAATACGCCTCGCAGAAGAAACCCAGAAAATGCCTATCGCTGCCTAACAAAATGCGCATGACAATCGCATTCGATTAATCGTGCAGCCCTAGTTCTGTGTGAACAGCACGCACACAGACAGCCGCGTGAGCCGCCTGAACGGGCAACTACATACAATTGGCAGGGCAAGTAAAAATTTGAACCACTGGCCCGGTTGAAAAAATCCTTAGCGTTGATCCCTGCATTTGCAACTGGGCTGAGCCTGTATCAAATATTTATCATGTAGTCGTGATTAGAGGTCGACCGATAGTGGATTTTGCCGATACCGATAGCTAGGTTGGACCACAAGTTTGAAGTTCGGTGTTTAAAAAACTGAGCAAACGGAAAGAGAAAGCGCGACCCATATTATAGCTCTATAAATGAAGCACACAGACTTTATTAGAGCCACAGAAAGACAAACGTTTTGCTGAAAATGCACAATACACAAAAAATATCGGCATGGATTTTTGTTGATAACCGATAGTTCCAGCAATCAACTATCGGTGCCGATTAATCGGCAAAACTGATACATCGGTCGACCTCTAGTCGTGATGATTTTGATGGCAAAGTAAAATTATGCAACATCATGAATAGTGTAGTGATCTTAATGCACTTTTTATTTGGTTACGTTTCTTAAAGAGTGTTTGTAGACTGTTTTGCATTTCTTTCTTGTCATCGTTTGGCAGCATTTTCACAGAGATATTTAGTTAATTTCCTCAAACTTAAGAAGCAAAAATTTGTTGAGTTGTTAGTTTGATTAATTTCTGTGAATCATTTCAAACTCGTTTAATGAATCATTTGAAAACGGATTCATTTCTCATTTAGTTCTTACATTAAACATTATGAATAAATCATTTTGGCTCTTTGTTCAACATTTAAAATAGACTGTAAATTATAGCCAATGACTATAATTAGTAGCTTTATATTGTAATCGTTTTTGATTCGAATCCATCATTCACCTTGCTTCATGGGATTATAGTTAATTCAGAAAATAGTTTAGTACCTTTGTCTTTTCTAGTGGTTTTCATTCTTCTTTTTAAGCTTCAAATCAAAGGTTGAATTATTGTGACTCATCTCGTAGCTGATTGGTTTGGTTTATGTTCATTATTAGCATCTCTGTTAAGAAGATGACTTTAAAAAAGTGGGTGAGTACTGTTAATAATGACCCCCCATTTCAAAATGAGCCATCAGGGATCATGTGATCATAAACCACACGATTACATCCTTGAAGTGACTGTTGTATGTACCTACATTCTATTTGAAAATGTGCTTCGCCGATTTCGGAGACGGGAGCTCCACACGATCAGCCAGCGCTCAGTGCTCATGTATCCCGATGAGAGCAGCCTCAACTCGGCTAGTCCTTCTGACATTTGCCGCTGGCTCTGATGTCTCTGTAGTCGATAAACATAAGATATAATTTGTTTTGGGTAAATCTTAATAGGTATTCTTTGGTCTTTATTCTATTAATCTATTAATGTGTTACAATTAAAATGAAAACAGGCAATGTTTGAATATTTCGTTTCATTGTAGTGTAGGCCATGTACGTTCCCTGAACATTTCTGCAGCTATTAATATGTTTAAATGAAAACGAAAAGGGGCAGTGGTGTTTGATATATTTCGTCTTATTGTAAATAAGAAAAAAAAAAAAGTGTGAGGAAAATTGCAGTAGCCAAGGTGATGTTATCAAGTACGCTGCTGTTTGCAGAATTACCGGACTTGCGTTGTCCCGTCCGCGGGAGTTCACACTCCTGAGTCGAACTCGCGAAGTCCGAACTACCGAGGATGCAAGTCCGAAATTTGTGTACTTGGTATTGAAACGCGTGTAGACCTACGTCACCAGACTATTTGCCTATTCTTCTCTGTACTTTAGACCGCGATGGAAACGCAGACAGCAACAGGTCTGGGGGGAAAAAAGTTCCTGGGAAAAAAGTTCCTGGTACAATTGTTCCGGGTAATTTCGGAGGAAACGCGGCTTTATAATTTGCACCATTCATATGGAATGAGCTAGAATAAATGTGAATTGCAAGTAATATAGATTACTGTTTACACTAGCATCTGCCAAACTTTATTTATGATGTTTCATCTAAGGTTTTGTATTAAGAGCTGTATTATAACATCTGTATCTGTAAACAAGTATAATGTAGTTCATTCACAACGCTGCCACAATTATTTCCTAAATGACAATAAATAAACACAAGAGCAAAATGATCTGTCTTGCCGCTTGGTTCTTTTCCAATCAGGCCACTATAATGAGACTTAGACTTGCGTAAGCCTTGGTAAATACCTGCAAGTATGTAAATGGCATAAAACGAGGGCTAGTGCACAATGGCTGTCAGCAGACTCTGCAGTGAGAACTGTATTAAACTTGCACGAGAAAATCAATTCGGAAAATATAGAGGCAATTATTTTGTCTCCCACACAGCCTGACAAAATAACTGCCAAGTGAAGCTGGGAGGAGAAATAAATAATGAAAGAGAGAGAATGAGAGCAAGCAGTGAGGAGATGCGACTACACGAGACACATTAAGAATCTCACAGCCACCCGCAGCCGCTCAAACCCAAACAGATGCTGGAACACATCTATAGACATATGTGAATGGCATTGTGGAAAGTTACCTTTAAAAAGTAATGTACTGCATTATTGTTTGTCCTGATAAATAAAACG